ATTATTACTTTTTCTCAATCGTCTTCGCCAAATTGAAATTGTTCGTCAACAAGGAGTTAATGAAACAAATAATCGAATATTTACTCGAATCGATCAGTATTCTTATATTGCGAATTATAAGAACCTTATAATTACAGTATGCATTTCTCCTGACTGGAGCATATAAGATTCTATAAAATTCCTATCTGATTTCCGTACTTTCGGTCGCCTCGGATTTTGGGTGAGAAACAGTTTTTATAGTTTCCGAAACACTGTTTCATCGTAAAAAATGACTAATGTAAACGAAAATCTCTTACTAGAAATGTGTTGACTTGCTCAACAGCAAGCAAACTCTGAAATGTTTGCGACACTGGACTTCAGATCAATCTTTCGACTTTCTTGCGCTCTTTAAGTCTCTTTATTATTCATATGATGCCGGAAAAAAACCTTGAATATGGTAAGCATTTTAATCTGAAAAGTAGCGTAGCGCTAGCTGAATGTTTTATGTTAAAGGATGTTAAATATTAAATAATGTTTCATTTTTAATCAGAAATGTTTGCTCGTTGATGAAGAAAGTTTCAGTCTCGTTTGTAAAAAGAGCAAACTGATTATGCTAAACGTTTTCCAATAAATAGATTAAATCTTTCTTAAGGCTCGCTGTTCCCCAAAAGGTCAAGTTTCCAATTAAGGTGCAGTTTTGTAATTTCCATGTGCTTAGATAGAGAAGAAAGTGCGCTACAAACAGCCATGAAGTTTCTTTCTACCTATATATTTATACCTTTCTTCAGGAAAAACATGAAGTTCTTGTGGAGAAACCCCGATTTCCTGATTAAAAAACATGAATTTTCTTGTGGATCATGCTAATCGACAAATTATTGAATTACAAGAGAGAACAATAATTTCAGAAAAAATAACTAAAAATTTTTGGTTTGTTGTCAAGAGAGTTATTCAAGTACCGGCTGAGCTTCAGGTGAAAAGAACACATTTAGAATTTGATTGAAATACATCTATTTTGAATTTTACACGAAATTAAGTGATGTCAAATGTGATGTTGAATCGACAACAATTGCCATTGCTTATCCATTAAATGCCATTTATGAATCACCATCATATCAAATTTTACCAACACAACCACTCTTTGCCTATTTACCACTTCGTTCATATGGTTTTCGTTTTATTCTTCAAGCTGATTTTGAAATTCCAGCTACTCGACAAGAAATTCTACGTGATAATATGTGAAATGAATGGCTCAAAACAGAAATGATT